CTGTGCTAAATATCACGCACCGGCTCAGGTCTCTGCATCAATTTGACGCCGTGTACTCAATTTCGGGGGGCAAGATCAATGCCATCAAGGATGTTGAGATGCCATTCACGTATACTTGAAGATGGAAAAGCCAAGTAGATAATACCTAGTGCATTTGGGCGTGTCAGGCTGGTTGATGCGTAAAATGGTGCATGTCGCCAGCAACTACTAGTCACGGCGGCATCAAATCGTACTGCTTGCCTCTTGTATCATTGGTCCACTCGTAAAGGCCGATCCGTAAAAGTAAAGTGCACTGCACGCACTTGGGCAAAACGCAAACACAAGCATCAGCCACGACAAGCCCTCTTTCACTCACCATGGTACGAGTGGATATACTACTTAGGCAATGCAGCTGGTGGAAGATGCTGAGCCCAAACATTGTCTCTCCATTTGCGTGGTCACCAAGGTGATGTGAATCTGCGACATGTCGTTCTGTCTTTTTGGCTCCATAGCTGAATCCGTTGTGGTTTGGCCCCGTGTGGTTCGGCTGGCTCAAGACAAGCGCCAAAGCGACAGAAAGAGCAAACGTAAATACTACGAGAAGGCCTATTACGGCGACGAGCAGTTTGTACTTGGGTTCCCAAGCATACATGTAGTGCTTGCGTGGCCCATGAACACCATGCAAGATGCTGACTGAGTTGTCACTGTGTTCTCCCTCATTGGTCAATGGCACGTAGCTTGGATCGTTTTTTATTTTTTCATCCATTCTCATTTTCATCCGAATTTATTCCTCTTGTAGGAAACAAGGCTTCCAACCACATGCACACCAAGAAGGCATAGAAAAATTATGGCGGGCCTGTTCCATGGTGCTGTCGGCCATGAAAAGCTTGCCGCGCGGTAGGATGAGTATGAGTGCATTTCAGTCATCCAGCACCGCAAACTCTCTTTTGCTCAATGAGATTGCGGGCTCCGACATTGAGTAAGCTACGTTCCACGCTGAAGAACTGAAGGACTTGGGGTCCTCATAATTCATGACTTGCGCGCCAGCAATCGATCTGGAAGCGACTTGGATACTGTTGTCGGGAAACGGAAGGCAGGCACATGCCAATCACTTGGGCATCCATCTGAGAAAGTGTCGTATGCTGTTATTGGATAGTTTATTTCGGGACACTGCAGGCTAATTGTCCGTTGTGGCCAATTTAATGGAGTGCTTTGAAGTACTTGGAGGTATCCCCTATATTATATAAAAGCTCTACTTAAGTATATACTATAAGGGTATATTTAATATAAAGCTAGATTTTTAAGAATACATGTACTTACTAGTAAAGTTAGTAATAATTAAAGTCCTTATAAGAAGGCTTATTATAAATAGCTATATTATAATATACGAAACAAAGTCACCCGAGGTTACCAGTTGCCTACTTAAGTACCTATACTCAAGTACACGGGTATTGTGGGACTGGTGGCCTCACTGGAGCCCTCACATCAGCCGGTAGAGCCACAAACGGCCAGGGTTAGGTGGGACTTGCTGGGGACCCACGTCGCTTATCCACCTCTGCATGTGGTACTACTGCGTACATGTACAAATGCGGGTGTTTTCAATGTTGTTTGATCTGTTTGGGCTGGCAAGCAGGGCAGGCAGGGCTGCCTGGCAACTGACAACTGACAAGCTGCTCAAGTGGGCGAAGGGCTTGGCAAGAGTGACAACATTGAAGAGGAAAAGGTTGCTCGCTGCGACTCCAATTCACATGCTAGATAGTACGACCAGACGTACAAAGTGCTTTCCTTTCCATAACACTTTACCTTGCTTCTCCCATCTCTAACCCTTCCAAAGGGCTTCTTCAAGACCACATTGGCAGCCACTGCATATGTACTTTTACCTTGACCTCTGTCGACGGCCATTCCCATCCTTCCGTTCTGCCCGACCATCCTCTTACTGGCCGCATGGCCCTGCTGCATTCCACCCGCCCACGCACCACATGCCAACGTTGGGCTGAACTTCAAGAGAACGAGCAAGAAACACTGCCCAGCACTCCGACCTCGTCGTCTTCGACCTGACGTTGAATATCGCCATTGTCTACGGCTCTCTAGCCGATTCCCGCTAGCATAGCCTGTCTCCCTAGTTTTTATGTAAAGCTGGCTCCATTACCGCTGCATCCTTGATTCATGCAACGCCGCAAAGCGGGCTGGTTGTCGGTTTGCATTGTTTGGCTCCTCACCACCAAAACCAGAGCTCTACAATAACGAGCAAATACCCCTCCCAAACCCCCTTCACATCAGGGATCCGGTGTTTCATTCGAACAACAGCTGCCTCCACATCATCGATTCGTGTTGGGTCGCTCGTGGGGGCTCGCAGGAGACATTGACCATATCGGCAAGCTTCTTGACATTGTCGCCGCCTTGGGAAGTTGAACCGTCACCCCGCTGACCACCCGAGCTTGCGTCTTCATTCCTCACCTGCCGCCTCATTTTCTTCTCCTTACTCTCCTACTCTTGGCTCCCTTTTTGCATCAAAAAGTCCGCCTGTCCTCGGATTCAAATACTTTGACAGGCAACTTCGGACGACGTCGCATAATTGTGTAAGCCATCAGCTTGCACCCAGACCATCTCCACGTATTGAGACGCCAAAAAGGCCGGGGGCTACAGCATCGATTTAATACAAATCCCCACTTCCAACACCATGCAAACGTCTACATCCCCGGTCATTGACCAATCTTCCCCATGTCAAACCCCCGTCCAGGGGCAAGATGTGTTCTGCAACAGTCCTCTGAGCACCCTTCGATCTGCCGATTCATCTTCTTCTGCAGCCCTAACCAGTGTTGATAAGAGCTTGTTTCGTTCACCGTCTTTGCCCACAGCAGCCTCTACACGAAGACAAACTTGGCCCGAGCCAGCTTCTCCGACAAGGCAGTCTCCGCTGCGGAAGTCTACGGTCCCAGGAGACATACAAAGTTCGGACGAGGAGGTGTTTCCAGTTCCGGGCTCACCGTCTACGCTCGGTCATCTACGCAGAAATAGGGCTGCCATGTCTTTGACGGGTGACAGAAGGGGCAGAGAAGCACTGGACAGATCTCAGGCTCGGCCTGGCGCTTGGTGCATGAGACGACATAACAGGGTCGTTGAAGAGAGTCCAGCAGAAGATCAAACGGCATCATCTGAATCCACACCTACCAAATCACGAAGCTCTCCCACTGTTGCCGCCCTATCACCCGCAGCCAACATTGCTCGGCAAAAGCTCACTTCGCCTACTTCAACATCCCGGTTCTCCCTATTCAACATGGCCTCGACTTTGAAGGGTCTAGCATCCGCTCCAGTCTCGGTGCTCCAGGACGACGAGCTCATGAATATGGACATTGACGCAGCTCTATTTCCCGGCGGTTCACCGTCCGACGGCGAATCCTTCTCACCCGCCGCTTTCAAGAATTTACAAATGAACGCCTTCGGTCTGCTACGAAAATTCCAAGCAGCCTACCAACACAAGGCCATGGCATGCCAGGAACTCCATGCCGAGAAGGATGCCCAAGAAGAGGAGAAAATCGAAGCCGAGACCCGAGCTACTCATCTGAAGATGCAGTTGGAAGGCATGGCACAAAAAGCCGCAGAGACAGAAGCCATGATGCAAGCTCTGCTAGAGGAACTCGGTCGCGAAAAAAGACTTCGCGCAGAAGAAAAATGCACCAGAGAAGGCGGCATCTTATCTTCAGGCATGTCAACCATATCCGAGGATCTCGGTGTGGAAGACGATCAAAGGAAGAAATACCGCCGTCGAAGTGGCGGAACTACCAAATCTGACGAAGCGGGCTTCGACACTGACGATGAAAGTGTAGATGAAGTCAGTGTATTTTCGAGGTCGCGCAGTCCCACGCTGCCAGCTAGTATGTCTGACTCGCACGTCGTCTATGTCGACAACGGCAACCACAGCTCAATACCGCCGATACCGAAACCCACCATGCTGGAGCCGCCTCGTGCCACACGCCAATCCCAACCCCAAATGTCCACCTTTCAAAAGCTATTCAAGGGCATTTCTGGTGATCCTGGCAGGGATGGTGAGCGAGCTATTGTCCAAGCTTGTCAGAATTGTCAGGGCCAAGATGCCGGCATAGCTTGGGATACGGCTAGTTTGCTAAGGCATGAGAATATGGGTTTGAAGAAAAGAATCGGGGAGCTAGAGAATGCAGTTGACGAGGCACTTGATGCCGTCATGGGCCTACGGGTGTAACAAGCTTGCATGGAGACATGCGTTATTTTTTTATGTCGATAAAAATGCTCTCTGGACTAGGACCTAACCGAAGACGGTTCATCACGAGACTGGGTAGACTGGATGGAAAAGGCGTTTTATTTGTGTAACGCATGATGATAGATAGATGTGCATATACCCCATGATTAAGTGCAAATCAATCAGCTGTCCCGTATTCCTGATAACTTATGTGATTATCTTCTGATGGCTTACTTGATGGTGAATGCCTTTGGCATTATAAGCCTGTGGTTTGTGGCAATACAGCTTCTTGGTTCAAGAGCCAGATGTCCTATTCCACACTTCTAGTGTTACGAAGGGAGTTGTCCACTGGCAACGATCGACTGTTCCGATTGGAGCGAATTCCTTAAGCATCGATCGACTATTCGCACCGAAGCAGTGATGCGTCACGTATACCACAAGAGCACCATAAATGGTAGTCACTGGCTTTCTTCTTTTCCACCTCGCAGAATGGAGTTGCCGGAGCGTCGAACCTAAAATCTCCTGTAACCGGCAGTCTACTTCCACGCACAAGTCCCGTCTTGAAAACAGCAACACATCCAAGGCTGCTTTGCATCAATAATTCTATTGCCCAGCTTATACACAGCCTAAGCAAATCGTTCAACAAAGAAAAAAGCCAGCTCTTTTTTCCTGGCCGCTCGTATATGTACATATTTCCTCTTCTACATCCCCCAATCTTTCGGGTTGTACACATTCCCTCGTCTCACTCGGATTCGAATTCTCGCTTTTCCCCCCACAGCTCAGATCAACCTGCGCAATGGTATGTTTAATGGTGGGCCTCGCCGTGATGCTCGTCCTGCATGAAGAAATGCTCGTAGACGCAGTATCCGGCGAAAGCGACGGTGGCGGTGCCCAGACCAGGTAGGGAGCCCTTGAAGCGGTTGAAGCGCGAGAATGTGCCTGTATATCTCCACGCCTCACTGGAATTTCATCAAGTCAGTAATTGGTTTTTATAGTCGTTTGGGCTGCCGGAATTGCGACATTCGCTGGGTTCGTGGTGGGTGGGGGGGTTTGTAACGTACGCTCGTTCCCAGGGATCGTATCGCGGCTGGCCGGCGGCCTCTTTGAACGCTCGCATGTTGAAGCCGGTGATGTTGGCCTTGGACCCGCGGGCCGCTCGGAGTACTCTGTTTTGCCGGGCGTTAGCTATATTTACTTCGATGGAATGGCGTTGCACGCGGGGAGCTAGGGAGCCGTCGCCCGCGCGCTCGCACAGGCAGCAACTGCGCTGAGATCGTACCTGGTAGGAAGCATCGTTTCCGATTGAGCCGCCTACGACCAGTGGGTGACGGAATCGTTGTGGTGAAGAGAGTGCGTGGTGATCAAGGCTAGAGGTTATTCGCAGTCTGACACTATGGGGGTTGGTTTGCCGACTGCTTAGGATCCCACAGAATGGACGGCCGCTGATTCGTTACTGGCCGGAACAACGTAGTTGCTGGTGAAGCAGCGTCCTTCTGAGAAGAAACGACTTGGGCCCCACGTACCTGCCAGCTTGTGCAGAGATGGTGCACGGGCCACTTGCAATTGGGCAACACTCCAAGTGAACCCGAGTCGGTCTGAGCAGCCTGCCTTGCCTTGAATCGGAGGTCCCGTCGAGGTCTTCTTGAACTACACTCCGGCTTTTCAAGCATCACACGAAACGCAACCCACGCAGCTTTGCTAGCCTACGCACTGCACACCCCAAAATCGACGTGCGGCTACCTTTGCCCTTCGGCTCCCACAGTCTCACGGTACCCTTAACGCCCATCAAGCGAATCCAAAGGAACACACGCGTGCGAACCGAGTAGCTTCACTCTAATCCCTCGATATCTCTGGACCGATAGGACTTATTTTCAAATCAGAACAGCGGCGGTATATCTGCATCCCACTCTTTCACTGACGTGTTGCCGCGATTCGTTCAGGGTTCATCTTGTCTGGTGCCTGTCTCTGGTTGGTGCCTTGAATACGGTTAAGGCCGGAGAGTCCGTCGATTTCCCTCGGAACAGCTTCACCCGACACTTGCGCCTATACTCAATGAACCTTGATCAGCACCTTTAGGAAGTGCCGGTGCATCATCCATATCCTATTATCACCCGAGAAGTTTGGACGCAGGCGTGCAGGCGAGCAGAGGGAGAAGCAGGGCGACTACCTGGGGGGTTCAAACAGGAGCCTCTAAATCAGCTGCCACGAGAGTCGCAGCAGGAGAAGAAGCTGCAACAGCCACCATCGCGTCCACAACCTCCTCCCAACGCTCCTCGTTGTCCGCGGCATATGCGACAGCCTGTTGAACACCTACCCGCATAGCAAGCGCAACAGCGACAGCAGGGACGACGAATATCCCCATATACTCCCAGAGGCACTCGTCCACATTCACCCATACGTCCACTTCCATCTGGGGATCAAATTCGTTCGCAAATAATATCTCGACAAATCCAACTGCGACATCGAGTCATATCACAACCACAAACTCATATTTGTCCTTCACCGCCAAGGGGCCCCCCATCAACAGTCTTGCCGAGGTGGATTTCGCCGTTTATGAAGTGAAGAAGTGGGCCAAGTTCTACGAAACAAAGCGCAGCAGTCACTCACGGAATACTCGTCGAGGTCGATAGTGTAATCGTCCGCGACCACAACCTTTACATCGACAATCCCTTACTAACCGTTAGCCGTTTCCAAGAACAACGAGGACCAATCTGCTTCGACAAGAACATTTCCAACAACCTGTTGGTAATATACTCGCCACTGCTTGACAACCACTGCGGCGGAAACTGGCTTCACCCGGGGCTTCTATCAGCTTCAACCAGGCTTCTCCGCCACTCTCCTACCATATGCCACCACAGATCCGGGGCTTCGGCGCTGGTCCTGGCGTTGGTGGGCCTTTCCACCAACCCGGATTCCCTTCTCATGGACAGCCTCAAGGCGGCCCGATGGGTGGTAACCAATACCTGAATGCCAATGCTCAGATAAGCTCTTTTGCAGGAGCCAACGGCAGCGCCTTTGCAGGTCTCAATGGGTCAGGATTTGCTGACTCCGGCTTCGGCAGCCAGAGCGCTAGAATGGGCTTTGCGCATGGTCCCGCTGCCGGATTGCAACAACCTCAACATGGGGGGCAGTTGCAGCACGGTGTATTGATGGAGCATCCGACAATGAGAGCCCAAACTAATAAGGGAAGAATACGAGAGGTCTGGAAACATAATCTAGAGGAAGAAATGGCGGTATTGAGAGATATTGTAGACAAGTATCCGTACATTGCCATGGTAAGTCCTTATTACGCTTTATTTATGCCCACCCCACAACCAGCAATTCTACATTTTGAATGCTAACGCTACGAATCAACAGGATACAGAATTCCCCGGAGTTGTTGCCAGACCTATGGGCTCATTCAGAGGCAAAAGTGACTACCACTATCAATGTCTACGGACAAACGTCGACATGCTCAAGGTTATCCAAATTGGACTGACTCTGTTCAATGAGGATGGCGAGACCCCACCGGCAAGGCCCGGACCGGACCTGGGACTTGGACCAAAAGCAATGAAGGCGGCCAGCCAGGGGCCTTTCCCGTACTCGTGGCAATTCAACTTCAAGTTCTCTCTCAAGGACGACATGTATAATGAAAAGTCTATCGAGTCGCTGCAACAGGCTGGCATTGACTTTAGTCTTCTTGAACGAGATGGCATCGATCCCAAGGCATTTGCGGCACTTCTCATTCCTTCGGGATTAGTATGCTTTGACGAAGCTAGATGGATCTCTTTCCATGGAGGGTACGATTTTGGGTATCTCACAAAGCTGCTAATCTGTACACCGCTGCCCAACGACGAGGCCCAGTTTGACAGCAAGATGAAGCTGTATTTCCCGACGACGTACGATGTCAAGCACCTCATGAAGTATGCCATACGTCTACACACCCAAGGATTCCTCACGCCTAATGACCCAGCTGTAATTGACATCTTGAACAAATTCGAGCACAAGTCTGGCCTTGAGAATATTGCCGAGACCTTCAAAGTCAAACGAATTGGGTCAGCGCATCAGGCTGGGTCAGATTCTCTTCTTACTGGGAAAGTATTCTTCCAGATGCGAGATAGGATCTTCAATGGATCAATTCCTGAAGACCACATTGGTAGAGTCTGGGGTCTGGGGGTTCCCGAAGGTCCAATGGCCCCTATGATGCAGCAGGGTGGCAACGATCATGGCCAGAATGGCGGCACCCCAAGCACGCCCAACCAAGTACCCGCTAGCCTCATCAGCAGTCCTGCAGCTGCACAGAATCATAACTCCAATGGAGGTATGGCACACATGGGTCCTATGACTCCCGGGGGGGGTGGCGGCGTCTTTGGAAGCTTTGCCTTTGCCGGCAACAGCAGATAGGGTTCTGCACACGGATGCCAGCTGCCGCCTATGTCGTAAAGCGGAGGACCTAGTACGCACTCTTTTTCCTTGTATCAATGGGATTGGTCCCTTTTCTGCACAATTGTAGCAGATGTAGTTGTTGATAATGATTCTATCTCGATATTGATTGTTTCGCATGCATTTGGGTTTGGTCGGTCCGGTCAAGAGGTGCTTGACCATCTACCTCTTACTCTTTATTACATATTCAAGAGTTTCCGCTGTCTCCTGGATTTGCTCTCTCTGATCGGTCATTGACATGGAATTGTGGGTCGTTGTGTCTCGGTCGAAAAGCGTAAAGGAAGCAAAGTCAGGCATCCCTCGTTGATTCTAGGAGGTATCGAGCGGTTTACGGAAATACCTGGACTGGAGATTTCTGGGAGTTAAGGATGGTAACAGAGTCGGGCTGGCACACGGAGTAGATTGCAGCGAATAGCTGCCTTTGTCAAGTCGGGGTTGTCTATTGTCAAGGAAACTGGAATGACAAATGTGCCGGTTTGACCGGTCTACCGTCTATCCATAGTTTCCAAGCGATCATGTATTGTAGCGTCGTGCGTACACAAAGGGTCTGGAAGTCCCTTGGCACACTTTTTTTTCTCAACTAGTTGAGATGGAAAAAAGGGCTTGTAGCATTGGGTTGTGTGTCTTGAGCCATTCTGTGTTCTTGAAACGCTGTGACATAAATATAACAGGAAACACCATATAACCATAAGTTTCGCTTGCCCTTGTACGCCAAAACAAAAAAAGTCATGATCCATGCCAACAGTTCCCTAGTGTGTTATCCCTGTGTAATGACGTAGTGATTCCAAGCCGCAACAAAGACCACCTATGTAATGTACACCTTCTTCAACCCTTCAGCAGCAAACACCTCTCCAGTCTGGATATCCTTCACCAATGTGGGCGGTAACCCCGCTTTCTTCGCCTGATCCTGCAACCTCTGTGATCCGTACACTCTTCCGTTTGGCAAGAGCATCAAATCGTGCTCCACGTGGCTCTTGGTATGATGCGCATATGGTACATTTCTAGCTAGCTCGTTAAGCTCCGTTGAGCAAATGGGGCACACGCCGTGCCCGAGGGTTGAGGTGCCTTCTCCCTGGTGCGAGGCCGATGAGTGACATGCGGGCGTTTTCAGGGCAGACAGACCTGACGAGAGGGCGACGTGGAGGAGGGGAACAGACGGCAGCGCGAGGAGGTTGTTGTGTGCCTTGGTGAAGAGGTCTGCTAGCTCGGACCAGCGGGAGGGTTTATAGAAGTTGGAGTAGGCGGATGATGAGTGGCCGCCCGGGGGAAAGGCGAGGAGGCCGCATGCCTGGGAGACCTCCTTGGGATACGTCTTCCAGTAGGGAATCAGGTATTTCTTGGCGTGGGTGATGGCTTCAACGAGCTTGGGTTCGGATTGTGTACGGATCAGTTCGACGTATTGCTGAAGGCGTAGCATGAATTCGAGTTTGCTCTGTGATGTATGTGAGTTTCCATGACAGGGGATATTAAAGGCGTCGGTGTGGCCATACCTCCATCTTTCGCAGCTCCTTCTTGTTGTCGGTACACCAGGCTAGTGCTTCCGTGACGCTTCCATCCAGGAGCGCCTCTCGAATTCGACTCATGTTCACAAAGGTGTCGACATCGACTAGGTCTTGCATGTCCTTTTCTTCAGCTAGCTCGCTCGCGGTCTGGTTGAAGCCATGTCTTAGGAGGTAATCTGCTAGTAGGCGGTCC